GAAATAAATTAAACTAACAATTTAAAAACCCTAGTAAATTTTGAAAATATATTTTAACAAATTAATATTTTAAGCAATAACTTAACTGTTCATTTCTTTGAAAAAATTGTTTTTAGTTACAATACAGTAAACTTAAAATACATACAAAGATATAGACATTTATGTCAGGTATGTAATGAGTCATGGCCAAAAAAAATGTCCATCTTATGTCATTAGTTAAGCCATGGTTATCTGCAYCAGTTTCCAGTGTAATTGATAGTATAGTAATGTAGATAACTGTGATCATGACTCATGTTATAAACCTACCTATCTTATAGAAATTTTTACCAATAAAATAAATATTTTCAAACGTTTAAATTAATGAATATATACCTATCTGCAGGTTATGAAATTTTATATTCGATATATAATTGAATTAATTTAAATTTCTAAACAGAATCAATATACTCAAATTTATGTGCAAATAAAAATAAGCTTGAAGACTTATACCAGTTATACCACTTCATGTTATTATTTTAGACACACTTATATACCTTGAATGTAGAGATTTAAACTCGGCGGCGTAACAGTGATTACTATTAGCGAAGTCTATAAAAATATAGGTTTTTAAAAAATGTCTCATTAATATTATAAACCTAATCATAAGTTATAATTAACCGTATTCATATTTTGTAAGCTAACTTGACGTATTAAATTTAATATACCAATTGAAAATATTGTTATATATAAATGGTAGCATTAATGGTTTATGTTGGTTAAAAAAATGATTATAATTCATAGTAATATTTACGAGAAACACTGATCTAGTTGTGTTTTTATTCTATTTTACGATCTACGTATTATACATTTTTACAAATCACCATTCAAGGTATGGTTATTTATTTATTTTTCAACGGTCCTTGTTTTTTTATGAACTCAGCTGCATAACCCGTAAAATTATCTATTTTACGGGAGTTGAAACCTTGTCAGGACGTACAACTTACAGCGGCGATAATATATTATACAACATAAATCATATAACGATGCAAATAACAAATGYCAATAAAAAGCCCCCGAAAATGTGATGACGTAAAAACTGTTGGAGACATTATTAYGATCACCATTAACGTTGTAGTAACACTCAGGTCAAGATCGTAAGAAAAGTAGAGAAAGAGAATCATGTTTCGCAATTTAAAATTGGATTTTTTTAACTTAATTTATTTAATGTTGAAGAAAAAATTTTCAAAATAAATGACAATAGATTAAAAATGCGAAGTAGCTCCTGATTTCAGATGTGTTAAATCTATGACTGTTACGACCATGCAGTATAAAACAAATAAAACGTTTTTCCAATAACCTATAATAATGCTAATAATAATTTAATAGGTACCTACTATACAAAAATGTATTAATATATTGCTTAATATGCCTTAGATAAAAAATATACGTATTCCTATTTTAATTTGATCGTTTTCATTTTTCATTCATTGTTTATCTCTTAAGTTAGACACCAACTGTCCAACTGTATGTACTTGACAATGAAAACGGACGATGTTATTATGTGAATTATAATATTATGTTGTCATCAGAAAAAGCCGCAAGACCATCTTGCATCCAACTATCCCTGACATACCTGCTAACGACATAAATATATC